GGGGGGGGGGGGGCTTCGAAAATTTTGAACTGGGGGCCCTCTGATATAACGTTACGCCACTGAGTATATTTAATTAACATAAATAAACTGTATTCTAGGCGTTGCTGGATAAATTCGATCATGCACATTAATATTTTCACAAATTAATTGACGACGAGCCTCGATAATTTGACTAGGGCCTGGCAAATTTACCAAGAAAGCCTCAATCTTGTCTAGTGGCGCAGTTGGCGCTGCCGCCATTGGAGTCGTATTGCCAATATATATTACCATTGACGATACATTCTATTTTTTTCACTATTCTTCGCGACTTAATTTTGCATGCTACCCTCCGGAATGTCACTGAATGAGGAAGTTTTTCTCAGAGCTATTAACTCTCAGAATGAGGAAGTCTAAAGCCAGTGCTTAATATTACTCTTTACGTGGGTGATGCCACAACCGGAAACCACAACAAGCAAAGCAGATTTGTTCGCGACGTATATTTCAAAATGATACCTGCAGAGGCAGCGGCAAAGTTTTTAGCTCCCAAGAGATTCGGTGTGGTAGCCTACGTATGTCTGATAGTTCATTGCCTTTGTGGACTGGCATTTATAGGTGTTACTTGGGAACTACGAAAGGGTGAGTTCGCGAAATTTGGTTGCACTGCTGACAAACAAAAAGCGACCGCTTACAAGTCATCTGTCGAGAAAATATGTTTTGCAAGATACGAACAGGCTTATAACTCGCCTCTATCTCTGTACGCCTTTGTTTCACTGAGCATTGGTTTTACAGTTTTTGTCAGTCTAATTTATTCACTGGCTGTAAGAGCTAGTGTCGAGAAAATCGACAAAGCCTTGAATGAAAGCGATGATCCAAGAACCAATATCGAAGGAACGAGCGAGGGATTTTATGTCTTGTACTTCTATTTCTTCCACCTTGTTGCTCGTTCCGTATTTGGAATTCTGTTTACTGTTCTGCAATATACAGTATTTTATCCCCGTGGATTTGCTTCTAAATTTAATTGCAATCTACCAACATCAGATGTAACATTACGGAGAGGAAACAATACGATTATTGGTAAGTTAAATTATAGTAACTTTAGCTGGCGTTGTAGCCTGCGTAGCAGTCGTTTTATTTTAGTGAAGGTTTTGAAAGATGGGCAAAATTTGTGATCCCAGGGGTATTCTCAACGGCTTTGCTATTCTTAAAGGTCCAGACACACCGTACGTGATTCGACAACGCGACGCGATTTTTCGATTTTCACTGACCGATAACTTTGATACGAGTTTAAAGGTCCAGACACACCGGACGCGATGCGATTTTTTAGTTTTTGAAAGTTAATAAAACAGCCAATGAGAGCAAATTTTGAAAGGTATGTAGACCAAATAACTCAAAAGGTTATAACGCTTCTAAATATTTGGAAAATTTAAACTAGGATCAAAGTTATCGTTCAATGAAAATCGAAAAATCGCGCGGTCGCGTTGTTGAATCACGTCCGGTGTATATCGACCTTTAGGCTGTTTCAAAAACTCATTAATAATTCATGAAGCAATTATCCAATCTTGAGTAAGAAATTAGTCACGTGCATACGTCTTTATACCAGCTAAAGAACACTTTAACAAAAGACCATTGTTATGCAAACTATATAAAGATTTTTATATAAATAT